AATTTTATTCCCCATGTACTTTCTGTACCCTTCCAAAAAATTGAACATGCCATACTTATTCTTTAAGTTTGAAATTTTATTTAATATTTTTGAACTTCCATTTCAGCTATATGCTGCTCCAGTATGTAGATGTTGTGTGGTTACTTTCCTTATTTGATTTCCTTTAAATAAAAGAGAAATTAATCTTTCAAGTCAGATACATATAGAAAAACTTTTCTCCCATAATTGGAAATAATTTTTTAAATTTCTTCTGATTGTTGTACACAAAGAATTTCCCCCCTATTTCTTCTTTTATAGTTGCCAAGGTAATTGTCCCTTCTTTTTTCAAGAGAGAATGTAGTCCATCCTTAAGGGGAAAGGAGTAGGAACAAAAGCTTTCTAAGCTATGAAAAGAATTCATAAGAGAGAAAGATGTAGCAGAGTTCAGTGAAATCTTCCAAAAATGTGCAGTTTTCACAAATCGATAGGATAATTAAGAGAGGAAAGTCCTCTGCAGAGAGGGTGACAGTGTAGGGACTGTATCTAGGGTGAGGATCTATAACTCAGGGGTTGCCAGGCAGAATCATTTCTGAGTAGGGAGGTCTGAGTCACAAGGGACAAACCAAGAAGTGCAAGTGTGACAGTGGGATTTCTATAAATGGGCAGAAAAACTTGGGAGTAAAGTGCAGGGCTGTCAGACGAGGAGGTCTGTGCTAGAGTAGGAAAACCTTTGAAAATTCAGAGAAACCTTGCCTCGAGCGGCACTACCCCAGGCAACATTTGGTGTCAGGACTTTTTCACCTTCTTGGCCCCTCTCAGCCACCTAGTCACAGTGCCAAGAACTTTCCCACAAAGCCACAAGGTGCCCAGAGTGAGCCCTAGCAGGAACAGAATGACATCAAGTAGATACTGTTCATGCCATGGCTGCTGAAAAGCGTAAGGTTTGAGGTGTGCTGCACCACCTGTCTGTAGGATGTGGTCGATCCAGCCCACCAACCTCTGGGCAGGGGTCAGGGGGTGGGAGAGTCTGATGACTCTGGCAGCCATTGCTGCAGCCTTGTACCTGTGGGTCAAAACAGAGAGAGCATGTTACAATATGCTATACCAATATTGAAACTTCACACCTCCCAGAACCTACACACATACACACACTCAAATGTTTCTATTATGTACTGGTATGTGGGTTACACAGAAAATTTATTAAGATGACACTGACTAGTTGAGTCTACTCAAAAAGTACAATATAACCCACAGGCTAGAGAGATGGCTCAGCGGTTAAGAACACTGGTTGTTCCTGCAGAAAACCCAGGTTCGAATCCCAGCACCCACGTGGCAGCTAACAACTGTCTGTAACTCCAGTTCCAGGGGATCCGACGGCCTCTCCTGTCCTCCATGGGGCATTGCACGACACGGGTGTACTTACCTACATGCATACACATAAAGTAAAAATAATAAAATATTTTTAAAAAATAAAGAAGAAAAGTTTAATATAACCCTACCCAATAAGATCAGTAATTAACTCTAAAAATACTGAATGTTAAGAAAATTGTCTCTAAGGATTAGACCCTGCCTCAAGAGGCTTATGAAATGATAGGAAAATATACTTGATCTAGTGTTATCATATATACGGTCCACTTACTCTGTGTCAACGTCAGGATTAGGTGACAATGCTCTTGGGAAATGGACCTGAGAACTATGCCTCATTTCCTATTGCACCAACAGAGAACCTCTTGGCCAGGACTGGTTTCCTAAGTTGCAAACTATATATTTGCATAACATGCATAGTAGAATATTTTTCTTGATTTAAACTTTTTTTAATTTTTGTTCATGTGTATATGTGTGTGTCCATATGGACATGTGTGTGTAGGTGTCCAAACAGGCCCTAAGACAACATTGAATCTGCTGGAACTGGAGTTACAGGTGATTGTGAGCATCCCAAATAAGTGCTGGGAACTGAGCTTCAGTCCTCCAGAAGAACAGCAAGTGCTCTTATACGCTGAGCCATCTCTTCGGCCCGCAATGCGTGATTTAAGTCTATGATGTCACTATCTCAAATTCATCAGGATAAAGGAAAATTCTCACATATTCCTCTTCACACAAACTACATAGCTGGCATTGGGGGAGCAAAACATTGATTCTACTCCACTCAAAATGCCTCCATCACAGGGCAAAATGGATAATGGCCACTTCTCATTTAATTCTCTGAAAATCTAAAAAAAAAAAATCAAACTCATTGTTGAGAAAAATGAGCATCCACAACACATAAAACTGAAAGTATTCACAACTTCTCTTCAGCTTAACAACTCATGTAGGTCTAAGAACATTCTGTTGCTTGATTCTTTTTCATTCCTCTAATAAGCCTTGGATGTCCATTTCTGTGGTGGTTTGAATGAGAATGTCCCCTATAGGCTCTAAGTATATTTTGTCCCCAGTTGGTGGTGCTGTTCTGAGAGGTCTCAGAGGGTTCTTAAAGTGTGGCCATGCTGCGGGAAGAATGTCTAGGGTGAAGACTTAGAGAGTTCTTAAGGTTTGCCAGATTTCCAGTCCTGCTTGGCTTCCTGTGCCTGTTTGAAGATGTGAGAGCTCAGCTTCTGCTTCTACTCCAGCCACCTCTGGCACCATGACTCCCCACCATGATGGGCTCTAATTCCCTGGCACAGTAAACTCAAATAAACTCTTCCTTCTCTAAGTTTCTTTGCTCAGTGTTTCTAGTAACGGAAAAGTAAATAATACAGTAATTGGTTCCAGAGAGTGAGTAGGTTGTTGGCTGTGAAGAACCTGACCTTCTGGGGTTTTGGAGGAATGTGAAAGACTTTGGAAGTTTGGACCAGAAAAGGGGTTGAATGCTCTAAGCAGAGCTTAATGTGCCATTCTAGTAGGTGCCTGGATAAAAGTAGTGCTGAGAACAATGTAGATCAGAGGGAAATAAGGACTTAAGCATGAATCTGGATATTTTGGCAAAGAGTCTGGCTGGAGTCTGCTGGCAGCCACAAAGCTCAGCTGAGGCTAAGTTGAAAAGCAATGGACTAATTTCTTTGGTGGAAAATATTTCTTTTCTTTGGTGGAAAAGAGAAGCCATTTTAATACATTTTTTCCAGAAATAACTTGAAGCAGTTTACATAAAATTATTATCTACAATGAAGTTTAAGGGGGGCGGGGAGTAGGAATAAGAAATCAAAGACAAAAGGATTTGCCAGCATGGGGTAAACTTTGGTGAATAATGAAGGTTTCCATTAGCTCTGTTCTTTTTTTTTTTTTTCGGAAAATACTAATGAGTTTATTGGGCTTGCTAACAGAGCATAGTGTGGGGTTTTATTTACAGAACAGTGAGTGCCCGCCCCAAGTTATGTCTGTGCTAGAGAGTCCACATTCAAATATAGATCCTGCAACATCCCAACAGCCACACAAAATGGTAAGAGAGGTGCCTTGTGGCATTCTCAGCTTATATACCCTAGTGCCGCCCCCACATGCAGCTAAGGTCAACTGATTTGGTGGGAGGGGCAGTTGCCCCCACCAGCCACTCCTTGACGAATGTGGGAGGGAAATGTGACTATAGCTTGCCAGCAAAATGTTTGGAGGACACTTCCAGGTAACACTCCACCCCTTCCTCTGGCTCTTTCATTCTTTCTGCCACCCTCTTCCACCAAAGTCCCTGAGCATTGGAGGGGGTGTTAGGTGTGGGAAGATCTTCCTCCCATTGTCACAAGGCACTGGACTTTTGGATCTCTGCATCATCTGTTTTTCATGGGCTGCTGGCCCATTTCAGTGGGATTCCATCTAGTATAAAAACACAAACAGCAGAAAGCAAGAACATCTAAACAGTGGCTGCTATAATAACTTAACCTATGGATGTAAACACAAATGCTTGGATGGTACTTTAGCAGGTGCATCACATCCATCTAGCAAAACAATTGCAGTGGCTTCCCCACTAGGGCCTATATCCTTCCCTGCCACAGGGAGTTGGCCTGGTCTACAGTATCAGATTTGGGTTCTACCCCTAGGAGCAAGCATCATATCCAATCAAAATTTACTGATTGTACATAGATTAGACCTGCCACTATTGCACTGTAGCCTGGAAATGACTTATTCCTCCCAACCTATTCCTCTGAAGAGTTACAGGTGAACACAGGGCACCCTAGGAAGAGGGGTGGAGCCTTGACACCAAACTTGAGTTCTCCCTCTCCTACACTCACATAAAGGGTCTTCAGCAATAGGGTTTTACCGTTCACTTCCGGTGTACCACCAACATTAATGGCAATGGCCTTTATTGTTTTCGGGACCTCTAGGGGACCCACTGGCCAATAGTTCGTATTAGGGGCAACCCACTTCTGGTCCTTGGATTATCATTTAACAACTATATGGCTTCTGGAAGGGCTTTCTTCCATCCCATAGGGTTCCTTTTGTCCTTAAGTGTGCTTGAAGCTTTTTTTTTTTTTTTAGCTTATTGTATATCTGTAGAATGTTTTTCTCCTTTATTCCCACAGTTGTTTGTATAGCCCTCCTTATGCCCTCCCCTTTAATTATCCCCTTTTCACATATTTCTCCCTTAGTAACACCTTTTTTCTACTATTCATCTCTCTAGGGTTCCTTCTTTCCCTTTGCCTCCCTGGTTCCCTTCCATATTCCTGGTCCCTGCAGTTACATCAGGATATGCACTCACTTATAAGGATTTGGTTCTGGGATCCACAAATGAGGGAAGAACATACATCTTTTGTGTTTCTGAGTCTGTGTTACTTCACTTAGGTTAACAGTTTCTAGATCCATCCATTTACCAACAAATTTCATTATTTCATCTTTCTTTACTGCTGAGTAGAACTCCATTGTATAAATGTACCACATTTTCCTTAACTACTCATCAGCTGAGGTGCACTTAGGTTGCTTCCATCTCTTGGCTATTGTGAAAAGAGCAGCAACAAACATGGATGTACAAGTGACTGCAATAGGATGAGTCCATTGGGTGTATGCCAAGGAGTGGTATAACAGGATCACACTGTAGGTTTTGCCAGCACCATCTTTTTTAGTATTTAAGAGTTCTCCACACTGTTTTCCATAGCTGTTGCACAAGTTTGCAATCCCACCAGCAGTGATGAACATTGCCCTTTCTCCACATTCTCACTAACATTTGGTATCATTTGCTCTCTTGATCTTAGCCAGTCTGAGTGGGGTAAGGTAAAATATTAAGGTGGTTTGAATTTTCATTCTCCTAATTACTAACAATGTTGAACACTTTTTAAGATGTTTCTTAGCCATCTTTATTTCTTCTTTTGAAAACTCTGTCTAAATCTTTAGCCCATCTTTTTATTGGGTCATTTCCTTTCTTGTTTCTTTGTTTTTTGAGTTCTTTATATGTTCTGGATGTTAAACCTCTGTCAGATGTGTCACTGGTAAGGAATTTTTCCCACTCTCAAGTTTTCCCTTCACTTTCTTGATTGTTTCTTTTGCTGTACAAAAGAACTAAAAGAAGCCTTTTAGTTTAATGAGGTCCCATTGTAGATTATTGACCTTAATTCCTGAGTAATTGTTGTCCTATTTGGAAAGTTCTTTCCTACACCTATATCTTGTTGGTTACTACCAATGTATTCTAATAGTTTCAGTTTTTCCAATTTCCCATTGAGATCTTTGATCCATTTGTAGTTGACTTTTGTGCAAGGTGAAAGATAAGGATCTAGTTTCATTCTTCTGCAAGTGGCGATCCAGTTTTGCCAGCAACATTTGTTGAAGATGCTGTCTTTCCTCCATTGTGTGTTCTTGGCTCCTTTGTCAAATATCAGGAGGCTGAAATTGTGTGTACTCAGATTTGGGTCTTCAATGATGTTACATTGATCTATGTGTCTATTTTGTGCTAGCACCATGCTGTTCTTATGACTATAGTTCTGTAGTATACTTTGAAATCTGGTATAGTTATCCCCTCAGGCTTGCTCTCTATGCTCAGGGTTGCTTTGGCTACCCTGAGTCTTTTGTGTTTCCATACAAAATTAAGGATTGTTTTTTTCTAATTCTGTCAAGTATGTCATGGGGATTTTTATTGGGATTGCATATTGATTTTGGTAGGATATTCATTTT